GTGTGTGTGTGTGTGTGTGTGTGTGTGTGTGTGTGTGTGTGTGTGTGTGTGTGAGATGAGTCTATTGCACCTTGCGATGCAACAAGCGGCTTTTATATAAGACACAACATAAATAATGCCAATAACACAGACATCACAACATCAAACGAATCACACCATGATCCAAGCGAGTATTCCATTCGACTGGGTATGCACGACCTCACCGACTTCCTGCAAGGACTGGAGCCCGAGGGCACTTAGTCGTGAGCTGAAACAAACAATACACAACAACTAGGGAAACTTCAAAGCAGAAAAAAGACAGTAAGGAAAAAAATCATGCGGCATCAACAAAGGGTGAAGGCTGGGGGGCAAGGGGGAGGCGGGTGGGCAGAAAGACAGCATGCCGCAAGGCAAATAGCACAAGGCAGCAAAGCATATAGGCTGGAGGGCATGGGGGAAGCAGGTGGGCACGCAAACAGCACAAAACAACAAAGCACACTGGGTGAAAGGCATGGGGTAGACAGATGGTCAAACAAACAGCGTAAGGCAGCGAGCGTCCAAGGGAAACAACAACAAGATAAACGACGACAATGCAAAAACAACACCCGAAAAAAATACAAGTATAAACCAGGCAAAGACTGAAAAAAATAAATAAACACATGATGAAATATTGTTTCGTCGGAGTTGCACCGACTCATCAGGAGGCTGAACCTTCGACAATCTGCGGAATCCCCGTATTTGATGGTTTGGGTCATGAACCCTTTGACCCTTGTTGAAGGCAGACTGTCCCCAAGAGGAACACAGCAGCGGGCAGCAAGCCTGTGAAGCACCAGGCAACACAGTAGAGGCAACACGGCTGCACAACGCCAAAAACGACTGCGAGGAACGACACTGCACACCGAACTCCCAGCAGGGCACCCAAGCAGTGAAGCACCAGGCAACACTACCAAGACAACCACACTGCAAGGGACAAGAGGGCAAGCGAACAAGCAGCAGAGCGACCATGTTGAGGGGCACAAGGCAACCCCAACACGACAATCAAACTACAGGGCGCGCAAGCAAAGAACCTGGAAGGCACGACCAGCAGATGGGCGGCGAGGCAGCGAAGCGCAAGGCAACACCACAACCCGGCCACACCACACAGCGAAGACAGCAGCATGCCAAGAACAACCTGCGAGGCAAGCGGAACGGGCAGCAAGGCAGTGGTGGAGCGCA